GTTCGCGTCCCGGACCCAGTGGCTTAAAACTCACCCCGGGCACGTGTGCGTGCGTGCCCAAGATCCCGAGAGGAGAATGGAGGAGAAAGGATTGCAGCGTGACCATCCCCCCTGGGGGGTGATTTTTCGCTTTCTGTCTCTATGTCTCTCTCTGTCTGTCTGGCGAGCACACACGCCCTATAGCAAAAATCTCTCAAAAAAAGAAAATAAAAGAATCTTGATGTAAAATAAACATTGTGTATTTAAAAAAAAATCAAGATGGACCATAAATGTAAAACCTTAATATAAAACTTGTAGGATAAAATCTTTGTGACCTTGGGCTAGGCAAATATTTCTTAGGTATAACATAAAAAGCATGATCCATAAAAGAATAAATTGATAAACTTGGATTTCACACAAGTTTAGAACCTCCGTTTCTCAGGACTAGCAGATGGTGTAGTGGTTACGTCTCTGGACTCCCACGTAGTCGACCGCGGTTCGGGTCCCGGACCCGGTGGGTACAAATCGCACGCTGGTCTCGTGTGTGTGTTTTTCCAAGATCCCCAGAGGAGAATGGAGGAGAAGGGATTGCGGTATGACCATCCCTTCTGGGGGGTGATTTTTCACTGTCTCTCTCTGTTTTTCTTAGTCTCTCTGGCAAGCACACTATAGCAAAAATCTCTCTACAAAAATAAATAAATAAATAAATAAATAAATAAATTCTGTTCCTTAATAAAACACTGTTAAGGTAATGAAAGGCATGTGACAGGTAGGGAGAAAGTCTCTACAACCATGTTTCTGATAAAGGACTTGTATCCAGAATATGTACATAAAGAACTCTTGAAACTCATTAGTGAAACAACCTAACATTTTTGGGCAAAAGATTTGAACAGACATTTTTCCAAGAATTTCCATGGCTGTCAAATAAGTACATGAAAAGATTCAGCATCGTTAATCTTTAGAGAGATACAAATTAAAACCAGAAAGGCATCACTACATACTGGTTAGAATGACCATACCAAATGTTATTGAGGATTTCTTAATGACTCATGGGAATGTAACATATATAGCCATGTTGGAAAACATTTTGGCAGTTATGTAAAAATCAGGCCAGGTACCATGTACTGGATACTGTTACTTAGTAGGCTGAGGCCACTGGAAAGCCTGAGTTGGATTTGCAGCCCACTCTAAAAAGCTAGGCACTGCAAGCACTGTAATCTCAGCTACTCTGAGGCCGAGCAGGATTGCAACACAGAGAAACCCTGTTTAAAACACTGTACACATACACACATACAAACACACATACCCCCTCACCACCAAAAAAAGAGAAAAAAATACACCTACCAGAAGATCCAGCCATTCCACTCCTAGGTGTTAAGAGAAAAGAAAGCATAGTTTCATACAGAGTGCCCATTTATATACTCTGATAGCAAGTTTATTTGTAATAGCTAAAAACTAGAAATGACACAAACATCTGTCAGCTGGTAAATGTATAAACAACTTTATCAATTTATTCTTTTATGGATCATCTTTTTATGTTATACCTATTGATGCTACTCAGCAATAAAAAGGAAATGAAGTTTTGATATACAGAACAGCATGGATGAATCTCAGGAGTAATTGTACTGAGTGGAAGACAAAAGCCCACTATCATATGACTCACTCTGTGTACAGGGATGTGTGTTCATGTGTGTCTGTTGTATGAACAAATTCTGAATTGAATTTCCTTTCACTTTTCAAGTTAATAATCCATTTTTTAAAACTTGATAAAATTTCTAAAAATAAAATACAGGGGCTAGGAGGTGGAACAGAGGTTAAGGGCGCTGGACTCCCATATGGCCGACCGTGGCTCAAGTGCTAGACCTGCCAGCTTGCTTTCTCGCTCTCTCTTTCTCTCTCTCTTTCTCTCTCTCTCTCTCTCTCTCTCTCTCTCTCTCTCTCTCTCTGTCTCTGGTCAAATTTAAATAAATACATACATATATACATATGTATATACATAAAGTTAAATAAAATCATTCTTTAAATAAATAAATAGATAAAATAAGAAAACTTAACATTTCTTCTATCAGAGAGAGAGACACACAGAAATAGGCACCTCCTAACAGTATCTTCACAAGGCAATAATCCACCCCTAGTCTGAGCCAGCCCAGATCATGGGCATGCACATGTACCCAACATGCTCAGGGATATCCCAGGGTGCAAACCCAGGACCTTCCCATGTGGGCCCAGTTATATTATTGCTGTACCATCCCCTGGCCCCAAGAATCCTTTTTTTTAAGAAGTTTTTGCCTTAGGGTGTGCGCACTCATGGGGAGAGAGACAGAGACAGTGAGAGGGAAAGCGAGAGATCACTCCCTAGGGTGGTTGGCCATGCCACAATCCCTTCTCCAGTCTCCTCCAGGGATCTTGGGCATGCACGCATATGTGCCCAGTGTGAATTTTAAGCTACTGGTTCTGGGACTCCAACTACAGTTGGCCACGTGGGAATCCAGCGAATTAACTGCTATACCATCTGCTGCTCCCCCCCCAATATCTTTTTATCATTAATATTTTTGGAATTCTGAATGTCTTCAAGTTCTTATTCATGCTTTTTACAGAACTTTAGTTTGGTGAGTCACTTTTTAAAAAATAAATTCCTATTTAGGAAGTTGATATGATTCTTTTGAAAATGAGTCAGAGAGTCTTACATTTTCTTGAGATTTATAATCATTCAGACTTTTCAATAACTATGCATTGTGAAAGTAACACTATCGTTAGTCATTTCTGGTGTATGCTGAAATATTTTATATTTAACAGTCTGACTTTCTATATGGTAGAATTTTAACAGCTGCAGAAGAAAATAGCAAAATGGAACAATCAAACTTAGAAAAGTTGGAGTTGAATGTCAGAAAACTACAGCAGGAACTAGACCAGCTAAACAGAGACAAGCTCTCACTGCATAATGACATTTCAGCAATGCAGCAGCAGCTCCAAGGTATGAGGTAGCAGAATGGTAAAGGTGTGATTTTCCTTCCCCTTGTTAGATTCTTTGTTTGATTTCTCTTATTGCAGAAGTAATCTGTGTTCATTAGGGCCCAGGGTAATGATTGCACAATTCTATAAATATACCAAAAGCCTTTTAATTGGCTTTGAATAGGACATACATGATATGTGAATTTAACCTCAATAAGTCATTTAAAAAAAAAAAAAAAACCTGGGCAGGCCCCATGGCCTAGTGGTTAAGGGAGTCATATCCTTCGTTGCTATCCTCAATATTCTAGTTCTAGCCCTGATGACTTGTACAACATGCCAGGCATATGTATGTGTGTGCCCAAAATGCTGACAGGACAGAGAAACGGAGAAGGAATTGCAGTATGACCACACCCTAATCGGGGTGGTGCTTGCTTCCTCTCCTTTTCTTTCTGCCTCTCTGTCTCTTGCAAGAGCACACACCATCCCCTGACAAATAGTTTATTTTAAAAAAAAGATGGAAATAATAAGGATTTTTTAAAAGAATTATTTATTTTATTTTATCCATTATTATTTTTTAATTTGACCAGAAGAAAGGCAAAGTGAGAACGCAAGCCAAGTCCAGGACTTGAACCACAGTCACCTATGTGGGAGTCCAACACCTTAACTACCACACCACCTGCTAGCATCAAGATTTTTTTTTTTAAAATACCAAATCTTTATTTATTAAATTTAGGAAAAATAATTTTTTTTTTTTTTTTTTTTTTTTTTTTTTGCCATAAGGTGCATGCACTTGCTAGAGAGAAACAGAGAGAGAGGGACAGCGGGAAATCAAGAAATCATCCCTCAGGGGTGATGGCCACACCACAATCACCTCTCCACTCTTCTGAAATTTTTGACCATGCATGTATACGTATCTGGCATGATTTCCTTTTTTTTTTTTTTTTTTTTTTTTTTTTTTTTTTTTTTTTAACTGGTTTTTTCTATCCCACAAGAAAAAGCAAA